GTACTGCCGCTAAGGGGGTCACACGCGCCTGGGCCAATCGACTGACCAAGTTGCGCGATGACAGTCGGCTGAGCATTGAGATAACTAACCACTGTCGGAGCTACAAATGCTGTATCTGTAACTTCGCTCAAGGGAACGATGAGGGATGGATAATTTGTGGGAGACGGCAGAGTCAATGTGGATGTATCCGTGGCGCAAGCGGTTCCTATAGGCTCGACTTCCAGGTGACTGAAGGTTTCATAAGCAGCATAGGTCGTAGGGTAGGTCAATACTACGCCGGAATAGCTCCACGTGATGATAGGCGGCGCCTGAGAGGGGAGTTGATTGACGCGTAGAGAAGAGCTGACATCATTGCCAGCGCTATCGGTATAGATCTCGAGAGTAACAAGCGGCTGTGAGGCAGTGGATGTAACTACTACTCCGGGATATTCCAATCGGCTCGCCGTAACATCTATCTGACATTCACTCGCGCAGGATACAGATGCGGGAGGAGTGGAAGATGAGATGGGAGCGGATGTTGGCACCACAGTAGTCGGCAACACTAACGTAGTAACGATAGACCGGGTAACGAACACAGTTGATATCGTAGTTGTTGCGGGTAGAGTTGTAGTCAGAAGCGATGTAGCGCCAGGTATAAGGACTGTGCTCGAGATTGTAGAAGCTGGTAATGTGATAAGCGATAGAAGTGTACTCGTTGAGGCACTTCCGGGCAATTGAGTTACGATAGTCGAGGTTACTGCAGGTATTGTTCTTGTGGAAAAGACGGTAGTCGCTGGTTGGGTGATTGTCACTATTGAAAGACCTCCGGAGAGAGTCAAAGTGCTGGTAACAATTTGACCCGGCTGTGTAAAAGTCTCGGAAATTGTTTGTGGTGGTGAGATACTGACGGAAGTTATCGTAGCCTGAGGAATTGTGACATATGAAAGCACCGGAGACACCACAGTAGTGGGTGGGAGTTGTGTGAAGACTGTTGATGTCTGCCCAGGAAATGTCACATTACTAATGATGACCTGAGGCGGCAA